ACCTCCCTCGCTTAAGTCCTCTTTCTGTTGCCAAGGCCTTGCCCACATCAACGGATAGGGGACGTAACAGTGATTAAACTGATAACAATAGTACTAAACACACCACTCCTATCTGGTGGCACATTAGATTGCACGCGCAGTGCCCTAAATTTGTTGTGATCTGTGAGTAAGGTAAACGGTTGTCCATACAAGTAGGTTGCAGCTTTTTGAGGGCCCACACCACCGCTATGCACTCCTTTTCAATGGTAGTGAATATACTTCGCTGTGCAAAAGTTTACGGCTTAGATAAGCCCCGGGTTGCTCGCCACCATCTGCTCCGACTTGGCTCAGTACTGCTCCCAATCCAAGCATAGAAGCGTCTGTATGGACGAGAAAGTGCTTAGTTGGATCAGGAGAAGAAAGTACAGGTGATTTAATGAGCGCCGTCTTGAGCTGTTGGAAGGCCTGTTCACACTCTGGGGCCCATACTACTATCTTGGGGAGGTTTTTACACGTTCCTATATGGCACTTACTGGGCTTTAGGGTCAGTCCTGACTCCCTAATCCGGTCTATTACGGCTCCTATGTGGGTCAGGTGTTCGGGCCAGGAGCTGCTAAAAATGTCTATACCATTCAAGTAGGTGTGTATCAGTGTGTATCAGGGATCCTTAGGACAGGTGTCAATCCATATCTGCCAAGTGACCCTATGTTGGGGTAACATCCCCTATTCTGATCTGTGTCAGTGTGTATCAGGGGAAGCTCTGAGGACAGGTGTCAATCCATATCTGCCAAGTGACCCATGTTGGGGTAATATTCCCTATTCTGCTCTGTGTCAGTGTGTATCAGGACCACTGATAGGGAGACGCTGAAGTTATTAAACTGATAAAATAGTACTAAACACTCCACCTCATCTGGTGTCACATTAGCTTGACCGCCAAGAGTGCCCCAAATTTGTAAGAGGACCGTAATTGAAGTTCTTCTTCCATCTCCTGTTACATAAAATCAATGCCGTAGGCCACCTAATTCTCACCGGATAGGAGACGCTGAAGGTATTAAACTGATCAGAACAATACTAAACACACCACTCCTATCTGGTGGCATATTAGCTTGACCGCGCAGTGCCCCAAATTTGAATTAAGAGGACCGACCAAGCCTCTTCTTCCATCTCCCTGTTACAGAAATCACTGCCATATCCATACAAATTGTACAGAATGTCCAGGATAGTTTTCCATGGACAAATGTTGTCGCCCGTTGAACGAGGTGACCTTGCTCGGGTCCCAGGTGTACGGTTCCTAAAATGGCTGCCATATACACGTCCACTGATAGGAGACGCGGAAGGTATTAAACTGATCAGAACAATACTAAACACACCACTAACAAGGTTTCTCTCCTGTATGGCTCCTCAAATGATGCTTAAGATTAGAAGCGGCTGAAAAGCATTTCTCACACAGGTATTAAACTGATAAAAATAGTACTAAACACTCCACTCCTATCTGTGTCACATTAGCTTGACCGCGCAGTGCCCCAAATTTGCAGTAAGAGGACCGACCAAGCCTCTTCTTCCATCTCCCTGTTACAAAAATCAATGCCGTGTACATGACCACTGATAGGAGACGCGGAAGGCATTAAACTGATAAAAATAGTACTAAACACACCACTCCTATCTGGTGTCACATTAGCTTGACCGCGCAGTGCCTCAAATTTGCAGTAAGAGGACCGACCGCTGCCTTCTTCCATCTCCCCTGTTACAAAATCAATGCCGCAGGGCTGACGCATCACCGATAGAGACGTGGAAGGTATTAAACTGATCAGAACAATACTAAACACACCACTCCTATCTGGTGGCACATTAGCCTTGACCGCCATAGTGCCCCAAATTTGCAGTAAGAGGACCACCTCAGCCTCTTCTTCCATCCCTGTTATTAAAAATCACCATGGTACACCTGCACTTCACTGATAGGAGACGTGGAAGGTATTAAAACTGATCAGAACAATACTAAACACACCACTCCTATCTGGTGTCACATTAGCTTGACCGCGCAGTGCCCCAAATTTGCAGTAAGAGGACCGACCAAGCCTCTTCTTCCATCTCCCTGTTACAGAAATCACCGCCATATCCATACAAATTGTACAGAATGTCCAGGATAGTTTTCCATGGACAAATGTTGTCGCCTGTTGAACGAGGTGACCTTGCTCGGGTCCCAGGTGTACGGTTCCTAAAATGGCTGCCATATACACGTCCACTGATAGGAGACGCGGAAGGTATTAAACTGATCAGAACAATACCAAACACACCACTAATAAGGTTTCTCTCCTGTATGGCTCCTCAAATGATGCTTAAGATTAGAAGCGGCTGAAAAGCATTTCTCACACAGGTATTAAACCGATAAAAATAGTACTAAACACTCCACTCCTATCTGGTGTCACATTAGCTTGACCGCGCAGTGCCCCAAATTTGCAGTAAGAGGACCGACCAAGCCTCTTCTTCCATCTCCCTGTTACAAAAATCAATGCCGTGTACACGACCACTGATAGGAGACATGGAAGGTATTAAACTGATCAGAACAATACTAAACACACCACTCCTATCTGGTGGCACATTAGTTTGACCGCGCAGTGCCCCAAATTTGAATTAAGAGGACCGACCAAGCCTCTTCTTCCATCTCCCTGTTACAAAAATCACCATATCCATATTAGTCTGTACAGAATGTCCAGGATAGTTTTCCATTGGACAAATGTTGTCATTGTTGAACGAGGTGACCTTGCTCGGGTCCCAGGTGTAAGGTTCCTAAAATGGCTGCCATATACACGTCCACTGATAGGAGACGCGGAAGGTATTAAACTGATCAGAACAATACTAAACACACCACAAATAAGGTTTTTCTCCTGTATGGCTCCTCAAATGATGCTTAAGATTAGAAGCGGCTGAAAAGCATTTCTCACAC